GTTTCGATTACAGTGAAATCTCAGTTTTCATTCTGGCTAACTCGCAAGCTCGATCCCACGTTAATGTACACGCCTCTGCCTGCAACAGCGCCTCACGTATACGATTGTCTGCGATTCCAGTAATCAGTTGCTGAGTCAGCATACAGCCTTCGGACATTTTTGGGGAATGAACGAATAAGAACACGGTCGTACTGCGCGACTTAACAGCGCAATGAAATCGTTCAAGGGTTTGCCTGTTACCTGACGCATGCGGGAGAAAACCTACTTTGCAGTAAACACATTCATTTGGTAACCCAATGTACAATCGAGAGCACTGAAAGCTTCTTTAACGGTATTATATCCTTGGAGACCCAAATCATCAAACTGTTGCTGCCCGTCATCTCCGAGTCAATGTCTAAGCATCTTCAATCTATTTCCACACTAAAAGCAGAATGAAATTCGCTGAGTATATCCAGGTAGGTTTGGAAGGATGTTTTCGAATAGAGCCAGGCATCTGATGTTGGTCTACTACCGCAGTCAGTCCAAAATGAAGATGGGGTCCACCACTTCGACCTAGAGAACGTAAAGATCCTAGCCCGAGGAAATTCGAGGCAAGCTAAAGAGTTCTTGTAAGCATGGTATTCTACAGATAATACAATAAACCGACGCGTTGAAATAGCTGCTATATATGCAGCGCTAAGGATGAAAGATCACCGAAGGATTAAATCTAACGGAACAGAACGCCGGACAAATGCGTCAAATGACGACGACAACCGAAGAGGCACGCGCGCGTACGCTACGAGGCAAGAATCAGAGATCGATTTCGATGGTCATGTGCCCGTCGAACGATCCAAACTCAGACTGATGGCTAGAAGATCGATCACTCACACTCACTGACGCTTCGTACCGCGCCGCTTTGCTACCTAAACCCGCACTGACGATGTCACCTCGGGTAGTGATGAAACGTTTGCAGCCGAACTGCCGAGCTTAGCGAACACTCATACCACCAAGTGAACAACCTGCCAACATTTGCTTCTATATTACACCACTAAACCAACATGTCGTTGTTTCAATCGGTTACGGCTCCAGCATAATTCCACATACACAGTGCGAGAGAGTGACATAGTGATACACCGTATTTCTGCGGAGATCTCAAATAGCATGTGAGCAGGGGTTGAGTCGGGACCAACTCTGAGAAAGAGGATCAGGCTTGCAGGACGCGCTACAGCGAACTTGTCGGATTAAAAGGTCGTATTTTCTGGTAGGGGACGTCCAGTCTACCGATTCAAGCGCTTTAAATAATGAGCAAAATACCAAATGGTGGCTCTGAGGTTTTATTAATATTTAGACCACCACAGAAAATAATCGACCCTATCAATATCGTCATTGTAATGGGTACCATGACCTAGCCATCGGTTATATAGGGTAGGTCGCCATCGGAGAGTACTCAAAGGTAGCACCAGGTGGTGCTGCGTCCGCATTGATGTTATTTCTGCCATTTCGATGACTATTAAAGTAACGGTGGATCACGGCCTGTCTTTTGATAGTTCCATGAACAGCCGTTGTTTAACAGTCAATGAGTTCAAGGACCAAAGTGTCAATTTTTATGAACAGTAGTACTGTGTTCTACGTAACACAAACCCGTCTAGTGGAGTCCAATTCCGCACACCATGCATGAGCAATCTCTGTTATGAGAAGGCATATACAGAGATTTCTACATAATACTCGAACTATAGTTGTTCAGTTCGAGATATTAAGAGTAGGCCAGGCACTTAGTGACTATTAAGGTCATTTGTCGGGAAACATACGTGACAATCGATCGTAGACCAACAAGTTTTCTGAGTCTGCGCCGTCAGTTGATCTAACGCACAATTTCAAACTTTCGCGAGGTAAACCATTTGCGATGTATCGAACGATCCCGGACCGATTTGATATTGTGGTGGCGTCCAGAAGATCTACCATGCGAAAATTCAAGCTTAACTAGCGGCTAAAAGTATGAAGATATTGTTACGCATTAGAAAAGTTTTGTGCTATTTGATGAAATTGTGAGTTATGATGCAGTTCAGTGGTGTACAACTATGAAAACACACGATCATATGCCGAAACAATATGGTGCTCCTTTCCATAAAGTGTACATGGCAAAACCCGCTTCCGATTAACGGGCAGCTCGTTACCTGAAAGAGGTATGCGCGTAGTTGTGCCCTACCTTAAAAATATATGCGTTTCATTTTGAAAAGTAAAATATATAACGACCGAAAACAGATGTCAAAATCGTCAATTAAAACAAAATATTCAGTGGGGATATCAGATGAAAAATTGATCTGATAACTTTTTGGTTACATTTCAAAGATCCTTTAAATCAATTTGCACAACACAGAAGTTGAAAGGAAACTTTCCAAAGCAACCGCTCAATCGGCAGCTTCCACCATCAATACCTGCGAATGCTCTCCGTTCCCTTTCATTAATGACGTGAACGGGAACTGCCACTCAGACTGTGAGCGGCAGAACGCAGAAGCAAAGTAATGGGCCAATTTGTAAAACAGAGGAGCTTGGTCGGGAAGAGTTCGCAATCGATCGGGACTCTCGTGCAGAACAGTTAAACTGAGCACACTAAAATTCGTGACGGCACCCCAAATTGACCGTGTTCAATGGAAAAGTGTAACTCCCTGTATCTATCAAGCATAACGCTGTGACATAGTCTACTTCCGTCGATCGCCACCTTGAGCTATAAAGCAATAAATTGTTACCTAATCTCCAATTAGCACTCACGATACCATGCTGTTTCTTACTTAGTGTTAACAAGAGTAAAAGTAAAACTCGTCAGTCGTTACTCGAAGCAATGCGGCGGTCAATCTCAGTCAAGTATTGTTGTGGGATGCCACCGAAAGTTCGAAGAGGACGAATGTGCCCTCATATTTCAGGAACACAAAATATGACACCGGATAAATCACCGATTTTGCACGAATCATTTGAATCGGAAAAGCGGTCTTGTTATCAGGCGCAGCCAATCATCCCATATGGTCTTCCAGAGCTGTAACCTATCAGATGGAGTAGCGTGAAGACAAGGCGAAACGAGAGCCGGTCGACTTGTTCATAATAAGGCATTCTTCGGGGTAGAGGAGAATTGATGGGGCCACTTCCTAGAAAGTCACACAAACCCCAACTAGTAAAGATTTCGCTGGTAGGCACCACGTGTCCGCGCGGTATGTATGATGCACAAAGCTCTAACTGACACCAAATCAATGGCTACGCGATTTCAAGATAATTGGAAGAAGCAAAAGACCTGCCTGGCTGCGTGCTTCGTGTTTAAAAACCGCCACTGGAAGCGTGAAAATAAGTGGCCGGTAATCCGTTACAACTGTTTTTGAACAGTTGAAAAAACAAAGGGGCGGAATCAAAGAGTTCATATACTACCATTTTCCCCGTTACCTGCGTACGATACGCGATTGGCCAACCATCTCTATAACATCAGCTAGTTGTTGGTACAGTACGATTGCACCGAGTAACTGCATGCGTGTGAGTGATGCGGTGGTGTTGCGTCATCAGGCGAGATTTGGGGGTTGGGTACAGAAGGTAGAGAGGTAAATAAATAAACGTTTTTCCTCGGCAATGCGAGATACGCCCATCAAATCTTGTACAAAACCCCGAACACAGGGTGATTATGGAGATGCACATATAACGAGTCAATTTCTGGCACACAGAAAACAGACACGTCAGATAAAACCACGAACATGGTCTAAGGATTAAAGAGAATAGCCAATAGTTTGAATTAGTTTCTAATATAGGTAACGGCAACGCCAAAAAGTGAAGCTCAATGATGATCAGTAGGTTATTAGAGACGAGTGAATTTTTCTATAGTGATTCACTTTCGAAGTTCGCGAAATGAACTGCGAATGTCTTGTGTCCTGAAGGATACCATCGCACTGATAATAATATTGCTGCTGCTGCTGCTTGTAATACAACTATTACTACCCCTTATTATTATTACTGTTGTTATTTAGTTGCGTCTGAGAAGCACTCTGGCTAAGGAAGGAAGTAGCGGTTTATGAGAAAAGAGCAAACCAGAGAAGGGGGTTAATAAGCTATAATGTAGTAGATAAACCAAGGTAGCGGAGACGGTTTGTGTACTATCGGCAATAAGGAAGCTTGTGTAATGTATCGTCGTTGAAAACCACATATATGAGGGCGTATCGACAATAGCACAGAAGGTGAAATTGAGGTATAATTCTTTTGTCAACGGATCGGGATAGACTTTAACATGTTAAAATCCTTATTGGACAAGTCAATAGCCCGACCTCTAATTACCAAGACTTTAACCTGGTAGATTAGCCAGATAGAAATTAAATCAACATTAATCGTCTATTGCACTGAATGTCGGTGATATGGAAAACGACAGCATTGAAAGCACTAGAAGTGAAGATCGTGACGGGCTGTCTTCCGCGAGTGAAAGGGGATGTTCGCGGTCCCGTCAATGTCACGATGGTTAATGATGCACCACTCTCATTAATATGCTTCTCATTGTTACTGGGATGGCGTAACTGGAATCGGCAGCTGTTCAACAGAGAGGTGTCTCTTGGTTAAGCCAAGATTTTCAGCAGGAGCATGATCACGGATTTTTCCGCAATGCAAAGAGGTCGTCCACCGTTGGCCAACTCGGTATTTTGAGACATTCCAAATGATCGCAACTCCATGATCGCTAGCATATTTGTCAGTGATTACAGCAATCGCATTCACAGCTATTTCTTTTAGCTAGATCTCAAAACATTACTGGTATTTGTTGAAGGCAGAATCTTAGTCAGTACTTCAACAATATGTGCCGGACGAATGGTTCACACTGCTGAAAGAGTGGCGAGCAGCGTCTAAACTCGGTGTGAAAATATTTTAGTTGAGTCCCAAGATATGTGACATGAAGAGGATTGTATCCAAAACTCCTCAGTGAACGGCTGAGTCTGCATATTAGCGAAGCACATAGTGCAACTCGGTGGGCAATTCGCAGGTAAGCCTAAAGTGTTACAACTCACCACGTTCCATCTCCATGATTGCTTGAACGGACGGTTTGCTCCGAGTGAGTGCTTTGTTCAACTCAGGAGTGCAATCGACCTTTCGAAGACCCATCATCTTCTTGAACGGGTTCTCTGTGAAAAGAAAGGGGTGAGTAAAGTGTGTTGCAGAAACTTAATTCCTCTACGCAGCTCGTCTCAATACTGCCGGTACAGTAAGTGGGAAGGACAAGGTGCATTAGCCATGGAAATGCTCCGCGTACAGTACCATTAAATATATCAACTCTTCACGAAAGTTGGATGGAGACGCACTTATCAAAGTAGTCCTACATTTATCAGGACCACACGTCTGTTGAACGTACCCGGTTGCACATGCTTCAGACCTGGACGATAGTCTTCTGCTAAGACCACGGTGAGCACCGTGTCTGCCCTCGCTTCACCCAGTTCATTTTTGGCCACCACTTCGATTTGATTTGTGCCCTGCAATGCAGGACAGCGACCCATCTCCAAATAGTTGATGGCTCCATCACTGTAAATTTTGGTGATAGAATCCTGAAAGCAAATCAAAATAAGCAAATGGAGTTAGATGTCCACAAAAATCCGCTGCGGCCGATTATAGTAGCAGTTTATGTTGGAATGTCTGACAAAAGCACATCGAAAATGGCGAAGCGTCTCCCAATTCCTACTCCCCAGCACGACTCCCTGAAGAATGGCATAGACCTCTGGTGGGGCTTTTAGATCAAACGTTGCCTGTTGTGTTGGAACGGCATGTTCACGGTGTTTACTGCGGATTCATTAGTTTTCTTTGAACATTTTTGACATTGTCTTTTGGCATACTATTTCCAAGGTCACCAACCCTGAGATTCACCGCGGAATTGTTGAAAAATACTTCACGCATACTACGCATTTATTTGTTTTAGCCATACAATTGTAAACGCATTCCAATGGATCATCAGGAGACGTTTCGCTAAGGTAAGAAAGCGCCTTCTTGATTGAAAACTGGCACTCGACGCTGTCCTATCAACGGGATACAAATTTTAATGATGCACTTGGTCATGCCTAGTAAGTCTCGTTTCATCGAGAATAAAATTATTTATTTTTATTTCTCTCCAGAAATTTGTTACTTACTGGTGGGGGACTGTTTATGCAAGTAACACTCGTGCACCATGTTCAGCTTCGCTTCAACTAATTTTGTATTTTTCTATTGATGCCATTCTAGCCCAACTGCACTCGATATTGTAAAATGCTAAAAACGTACCCCATTTGGCACATGCAGCTTAGTTTGACTTGATGGACTTGACAGGTGATATATCCCGAACTTGTAGGAATTTGGAAGGCCGGTAGTCTGTTACCTATTGTAGAACTGTCGAAACGCTTGTGCGCGCATAATCTCTTATCTTAAGGCAAAGTATTTCTTTAGGTGCAGCAAAATAGGCGTGAGTGTGAGTCCATGCTTCTTGGGCAAAGTGACCAACAGTAAGTAAGCCATAAATGTGCTCACCTGAAACAGCTTGTAAGACGACAAAGTGCGCAGCTTAGAGGCTCAACCCTTGCTTCCCCCTAGGATGTCAGAATGATACCTGTACTCCATCAAAGATACCGATATGGCCATTACTAACAAACGCCGCAGAGGCTTAGCTTTCTCGTGAGGAATTTTCTCTGTTGGTCATCTAAGAGCCTAGCAGGATACAATGCAGCAAGATAAGTTTGTGGAAGCTGTTAGTGAGTGCTGGGAGTGGTTTCTATCGCTTTTGGGTGCTCTGACTAGTTGATTTGTAAAAACCACACAGGCAATAACTGACAGATGCCTACCTTTCTTACTGTCTATTCGATACCAATTTCAAGGGGCACATTATGCACGAGAAAGAAAACAACCGGTTAAGAATGATATCGTTTGAGGGGAGATACATTTGCTGCTTTCGAATGCGCTTATGAAAGACAGCTTTCGGAGAAGATTCGCTGAGAGACACATGGATTAGAGTGCGGAGGAAAGTACAGGTGTAACTGGAACTTACATGTAGGGATGAATGCACTAGAATCGTGAGTATACTTCCACAGATGTTGGAACAGAGACATATATGGGTATGGCCCCTGTTGTAACAGTGGACCACTAAATCTGACATTTGCGCCGGAAGTAAAGATCTTATAGCACATTTTGTCCACTGAAGCACCAAAAATTGTTTTCAGAATTAGTCAGTTGCGACAGTATGTTCCCCTATGAAAAGGTAAATGATAAATCTTTTGTTTTGATAGGCGAAATCCTAACTGTATGGAGAAAAATGCTCGCATTAGAACTCGGGGGCCCCACCACACATTTGCAGATGGTTTGGAATCATCGATCGCGTTTGCTCGTGATATCGTACAATTTTGAATGATGAGTTGGAAGACTGGAACGAGTACCGAAAGTTACCGGTTAATGCCTCTAACAGTTGAGTGGCACCCACGTCCGCCCAAGCTCTGATTTATAATGAAAGCATCGGAGAAGTTGAGCAATTCAGGCTCACAGTTCCTGAGGTTAGTACATCCCTGACTGGCGACGAGGAACTATGGATTGGGACTCGAATGAAGATATCGTAAGTAACCAGCTTCAGGCGGTAAGTAAACGCACAGAGGTTCATGAGATAGTTCCATCGCGCTGAGATTTGGGGGCGTTAGATAAGTTTGAGCGAAACATTAGGTAAGCAACGTCTGTACGCAGCTACTTAATGGGAGCGGCAGGTGAGCAGTCAAAGGGCGCGCGTGAGTACAACTGAAGAACATTTCTATGAGAATGAGAATGGTGAAGTGGCACATTGAAGTACCCGAGTAAGTAGTATCGATTAGTGCTTGCAAAGATAGTGCCCACCCCACTACCGAAGAAAGCTGCTTCAAATCGCAGTATCTTTCCATGCGTTCCAATTTCACACGGTTTAGGACGAAATGAGCGTTCCAGAGCAAGCCATCCAAACTGTAGAAGCACTGCACATCAACTCATATTATCAAGTGACGGTCTGCGCGTAGGGCCACTCCATTTCTCCATATTTCCTACACTCCATGCAACTACAGCTCACAAATAACATTATCCTGCTGTTTCCTTTAGGAGTAGGATTTGTACCCAGTAAGTTGCTGACTCAAAAATCCCGGAAGACATGGCTCTCTTCGGGTCAATTATGCCTCGGTGGAACTAGTCGAAAACGCGTTAAGGGAATATGTCCCGTCGTCCTCCTGGGTATGGGCCTCGAATCATGTAGCGTCTGCAGCCAGTTACTAAAACCAACACGGAGCAGCTGCGGAGTCAGTGGTGCTAATCTATTCGGGTTCCTGCCTCCGGATCTAACGTCCATCCTGAGTGGGCGTAGTTCTTGTTATATCCATGTGACCGTAACCAGGTCGATTTCATTTTCTCGCTCATTGTGACGAACGGCAGGTTATGGAGCTGACAAAGGATTTTTTCCTTCTGCTCTCTACATTCCATTGATCCAATGATCTGTATCATTATCATTTCGGTGCGGGTCTTGACGTTTGAGCTCACTGAATTTGACGTCCGACTTAACCAGTCATATATCGACGATCTAATTACTATATTCGACCTCCTAGATGTTACTGGTAGCTTCCGTCAAAGGCTTGATACGATTTGGAATTAATAAACTACCTCCTATGTTAGAACATCGTGTCGCTACCGCGTAAGATACGTGCAGATTATATACATTGCCATCTACATTTGCGTCATAAAGTGGTCAACAAATTCCCCCGGACCGTGTAATTACACAGCATCACCAGGAATGCAGCTCGAGACTGAAAGAAGGTGGACCCGCTTGTTCACAAAAGCCATTGACTGACATATGTTTAGTGAGCGCAGGTAAGTTTTGATGCAGTAGCAACGTTACATGCTCCCGATGCTTACTATAAGTGGGTGTTACCACGGTGGTTTAATCACCGTGTAAGTTGAATGTTGAAAGGGATATCACCAAACCTCGACTTGAGAGATTCGAGCGGCTGACTGGGGGGCTAGAAGTGTCCTTCTTGCTGCCTTACCAATGAATTAGCTTTATGAGGAACAAGTGTTAATACTGTAACGCGCTAAGGACCTGTGAGGTTAGCTAATAAGATAATGCGGACGAAACCTGCGTGGAAAATGGATCTAGCCTGAGATTGCCAAGGGGAAATGTACAGATACGTGTGTCGCAAAATATCATAGGACGTCCGACTATCCTAATCCTAGGGGACCAGGGAATAGCACATGTAAGGCAAACCACAAGCTGGTATTTATTCTTCTGAATACAAACAAAATTCGAACATATGCATACAACGGTACCACACAAGCCAGTGCTGCGTCGTCCTCACCAAACCTATGAGGACTACAAAGAATATGATCAAGAAACAGGTTATATAGAACCAGGAATGTTTCAGAGTCGGTCCACACAACACCAACGGCAACACTAGCGTTGTGGTGATGCTCGGTGCCCGTGAAAGTAATGTGTGTGGTCCAATCATAGAGGACCAGCGTCTAGTTGTCAATGAGACCCGTAAATCTGGGTAAAACATGCGCAGCAGACGCACACAGGTAGTCGAGCTTTAGCCCGTTTCAACATGGAACCAATTTTTGAGCACTGAATCGTCACGGAATAAAAGCGATCGGTCTGCACCTGCGGCGATTTACAGCGGCAGTATCTACGATGTTATAAGTATGCAACTTATAAAATAGCGAGTGCAAAGTGACCGAACGCGACATACCAAGTGAGGAGTAAAACAGTGGACAAATGTACGAACGTCACCTTCTTCGAAAAGACGCCACGTAGATCCTCCATACCCTAACATGGCCACTCCCAACCCCTCACTGAGAAGATTGTAGGCAACCGCGCTTCTCATCCCTCCGGTTTCCTTCATACAACGATGACTTTCTATGGCTTCTCGAAATCATGTGCAGAATTGGTAAACAGCATAAAACGAGGCAGCCGGCTGTCAAGCGTGAGAAAATAATACCCCACTCCATAGGGGCAGTTCGAGTTCGGTAGAAGATATGGTACGGTGCTTTAGAGAATTTGACTAACTGTGGTGGAATTTGGTGTTACTGTCTGGTTGACTAAACAATGCTTGTACAATGCAACTCCTGAATCGGTGCTTGAAAACGGAAGTAATCTGCGTGTATTGGGTATGCTTCTGATACATGCTGGAAGACTGGCTACATTGCAGGCTTGTACGTCTTGCTTTTAGTCGCCGAATTAAAGTATAGCCGTTCAATAAGCGACCCCGGATGAGTGCAACAATCCCCGCTTTGAGTGATTTTTCGACTGTAGTGGGGATGGGTGAGGTATCAATAGTCACGAGCTAACACAACGATGCTAATTCTAATTCTTTTAGAGATATCAGCCGATGACTGGAAGTGAAACAATCGCAGCCTCCTGGTCCTCTAAATTTTAGCTAGTGCTGATTCCGATCATGTGAAAATGATAAAAGCATCAGTAGTATGCCGGTACGCAGTACCGACGCGTCACTCCCGCGCAACCACCACCAGTGGCACGTAGGCTAAGGAGACTGCGAGGGTCGCCCGGTCCCTACGCAGGTTGGAAACCGCACCCTCGGATTAAAAGGCAGGCTTGTGATCCTTGTGGACGCTTGCCGAGTAGTGATTGTCATGCAGTCACCATAGAGACAGGGAACTTAATGGAGAAATTTGAGTGCTTTTCTGTCTAGGAGCTTTGGGTAACCTGACAATCGCAGCACACATAAACTTATGGTCTCATGATGACGAAGGGTCCAAACGAAGTAGTGAGGTGTTGCAGTCGATGAATTTAATGATGAGCATGACGGTGGTGATGGTGGTGATGGTGGTGGTGTAAAAACATCATGCCCAAATCAGCTGAGCTGTGAACATTTAGGATGGTAGAAATGAAGTAGAGGAGGGTTACCTGTTCGATCATTTCGTTATTCAAATACCAGGTCAGGTGTGGAGTAGGCTTTCCGCTGACTCGAACCAGAAAACGAACAGGAGAGCCTTCCCCGATTGTTGCTGCTTGCGGTTTGACATCAAAGTTCGGAGGAGAATCAGGTTCAATTTCCTCCTCGTAAAGGTAGTCGCCCTCGTTTCGATACCTACACGCAACAAGGATGTGAAGATGTAGCAAAGGTTTGGTACACATACAGGTTGAGGTCAAGATTTACAGAGCATTTGCCCTTTTCCCGAAGCATACTTACGCTTCGTTCGATTCTTCGATGGCCTTGATAAGATTGTATCCCTCAGAGCCCTGGAGCAGATTGCTTTGTGTGATTACGGACGCACCTGCGATACATCTGAAGAGGAATGTGCAGGGGTGTGTGAAGTGCATCGATCCAGAAAATAGAAGAAACTTCAAAAGGAACAAAGTAATCAGTAGAATATAAAAAGCTCCAAGGCAATAAATGCTGTACCCAAGTACTGGATCTAGCTCAGCCGACTCTCCACTTCTGCGGCCGCATTGTGAAAGTTATTTATTTTGCGGTTTGCACGGACCACAAAAAAGGCACGAATGTCAACACCAATCTCCGAGAAATGTTACTCCATCGCAGGGGCGCACGAAAAGTAACGTTGTCTTTATAAGCAATCAGTGATTGTCGTTCGACCATCTTTCGTTCGGACTAAAAGCAAAAGTAAGGCACAGGAACGATGTAACGGGAAAGCTGATAGTTTGAAGTCAGTCAGTTGTGCTTACACACCGGAATGGGAATATGCAAGTGTATCCTTCGTGGGAAGGGACACAGAGAAAAAGAGAGCAGCAAGCTATTCTCATGGCCGCTCAAAAACCAACTGCAAAGCACTTACAAATAACAAGAGGATGTTTACTGATGGATCTTATAGTACCCGCTGTGTGTCTAGGTTAAGAGGATGTTATTATCGCACTGAAAACGCATGTCCCGTGGCTGAACGTGATGACCAATGTGCGATACGGTTACATAACACTTGAGGCAAATATGGTGGACGAATCAGAGTAGTACTGTGCAAAATAAACACACGTGTGTGTACGCATTGCACACACTGAAGAAGCGATGGATCTGCAAAGTGTAAATGTTGCGACTTGTTCGGAGTAAACTGCATTTCGAAGTAGCTGGGTTGTAGACACTGAACACCTGGAGCAGACTATTTTGCTCGATGACGGAATGTTATCGTGGAAGCACTGGCACAGTGGGACCAAATAGCAAACAATGTGAAAGGGTTTGGCAAAACACCTTTGTCAACGCTCCGGACCATCTATCAAGCTTGAATGCATCAGGTCATGAAGTTTGCGTGTTTGTCTGGTCGAGCTTAGATTCACCACCGGAAACGAGACTGATAAGAAGTAGCTGTCAGGATTTCTGGCCGATAATGTGGCAAATAGGTAGTAAGGTAGCTTGATGGCAGCGGATAGTTTGGGCAAAGCCGACCAATGAGTGGTGGGCAAGCAGCGGCTAAACAGCTGTTGTCAATGCAAAGTGATCATTCGTGGACGAGACAGAGAGAGGAATCAGGAGCAGCTCAAGCTCGCAAGAACAGAGTCCTGCTTTATCAAGAACAACGACGAAGTGAATTGGCCCGAAACAGCCGCAAGCGGAGGAAGCGGATTGGCTGGAATAGCCGCGAACGGACAAGGCATGTACGTTAACCAGAGACAAAGGACTGCTAATGTGTTCGAGCATAACTCGAGGCAGACAAAGCAGATGGGGCAGAACTAGATTAAAGCGAGCAGAAAGTACGGACCAATGAACATAGACAGAGCGCGGAAGACGCAAAAATGGGAAGTAACCAATGGGGGATGTCGCAACCAAATAGCGCCCGCCAGTTATGTACCGTATAAACGATGCCGTGCTTTACAACTCACACGACACGTGGCTCATTGAAGAATCTGGTGAGCATTATCCCTGGCGGATGGACAAGTAAGCCCGGTTGTAAACAGCCCAGCTAACCTGATTCGACAAATAAATGATGCGGGGTTTTTGGTGTTTAACGTACGTTTAGTTCATAGCGGGGCCTATGAGCAGGTCATTGTCGTTTTCTCTAGAGCATCATTTTCACGCTATTCACTGCGGATATATCAATTTTTAGGAACATATTGTTGAATTCTTTGACTAAACTATCTCGAAGATAACTGAGATCATCTTACGCCGCCAAGTAGTGAAAATATTTGGAGGTATCGCGCACATTTGCAATTTGTTAATTTCGACAGAACGAAACGGAAATGATTTAATAAAATGATCGTGCCAACCGGACAAGAATCCTGATCCTTCCTCCAGCAATATGTTGTCGTTGATCAAAGATGCGGGACTGTTTGACTGACATTTAAGTACCCTGCTCGAAATCAGCCTTCCTACTTGTGAAAGCTTACGTGTTTAATGATGCTGCAGTCGAAGTGTAACACACGGTGAAAAGGCACCCATCCGGGTACCAAAATCTTATTTCGACTTGACTTGGCAGATGCGCTTAAGCTTATTACTTCGACTGAAGGGCGACCAGAATGTAACGGGGTAGTCGCAGATGGATTGAATAGATGGATGGATGGAATAGATGAAGCCAGAGAAATAAGACAACTGCATTCCGCTCAATTTGTTTTGAGATGTCAAATGATGTTAATCATTGTGATGACATAAGGCTTCCAGGTGGTGTTTTTCCGACGACAGTGGAAAATCGCTTCAGAATCCATAAGAACTGAACAGCGCAGTGTGTGAGAGTGCTAGGCAGTAGAGTAGTCTCAGGATAGCATGGTAGACGGGGGGGGGAGAAAGACAGTAAAGTTAACGCATGTTGCACACAGGTCGGCTGGTGTGCTAACTGATGAAGGTCGTTTGTAATGTATTACTCACGTTAATGGAACCCGACGACTGTCCTGTAGGCCTACGCTGTTGCGTACACGGCACCAGTAGTCTCCACTGTCCTCCTCAATTGTATGCAAAAGATCCAAGGTAGCCAGTCCGCGGTCGTTGGATACGCGGAAGCGTGTCCCACTACTCAGAAGATCGTCATCCTTGTACCTGCATAACGGACAAGTAGAAGATGAAGCTAGGTAGAACAGAAAAAAAAACAGGGACACCTATGTTTGCGTCAAATACAAGAAATGAGTGAACTAAGAACATTTGCAGCTCGATGCTTCGGTTGTTCTGTAGGCGAAGATGAAAGCCAGATGGGGATCACAAGCGAATCAGGAATAGGACTGGCACAGACGAAACACATGCACTGTGGATGGTGATTAAAATGGCTTTATAACAAGAAGCATTAGACACCGCATCGTTCACGGAGCTTAATGTCTAGTGAGTAAGAAGTTACCGGCCAGCCACTAAATGCCGAGTTCCTCTTTCAGCTCCGGTTATCTCAATCTGTAATGTCAGTCACGGACGAAATAGGGCATAGAGAGAATAGCATTGAAGGTACATTAGTTTGTTTTAATGTCTGATGAAAAATGTGGTTTAAGCAGTACTAGGACATTCTAAAGGAAATCATAAAGGGATATGGCAGTGTTCAACAATCTAGTGATGCTCATATTTCTCCTTTCAGATGGTTTTTCTGGTGTTCTCCAGTAAGACTTTAGTGAGTGTCCACCGTGGTGGAGTGCAGTTTTTGGCACCTGATTCGGCACAAATCACCGCGGAAATTGTGGATCACAAAGGAGATTGGTTGCTCCAAGGTCACCCTGCAGTATGTACCGTATGGGAAGGTTAAGCGTGTCATATGATTGGTTACTTGTTCGCATCGGCAGTGAGTTGGGGATCTCAGCTTCTAACTTGCGGTAGCATGGCCGAGGTCAGCCTTTTAATAAGTCGAGTAGACCTGGACTCATAAAAAGCTTGAGAAGGAACGAGCACAGAGTGTTTGTCGTCCTATTGTATATCAGTTAGGCTTGATCTATTCGTGGTAATTCTGATGTATATGGAGTAAAACCACAACATGTTCCCCATGAAACTAGGTATGCTATCAGATAGCGATTGGTTGTAAACAAATTGGTGTTCTTCCTGGAACTGTTGCTAGCCCCAACAGAGGCAGTATCATCCGTGGTGTTGATTTGACAAGCTATGAAATTAGCTACGCAGAATGAAACCCGTCAAACGCATACACAGATGGTCGGTTTAAGCTGCTTTCTATTCAAATGGGCCAGGAATGTAAAGTTCTATTGTGTGAGGAGTATCGGAAAGAGTCCGAAAATGTTGCCTTCAGTTCTAATTCAATCTGGTTCACTAGACGAAAACAAAACCGAGCAATTCGTTGATGGTCTGCGACAAATGCCACCGAAATGCTACGGACAAAACTCACCATTCCACGAATAGAGAAGGATCCCCGGCCGGCTCAACTTGAACTTCGAAGTGGACTGACATGCCTTCTTCAACTTCACCGATTGGCTGCAAGTCCAGCACAATCTTCGGAGCTTCGTGAGGGCCATCTTCAATAAAGGTTTCTCCACGCGGAGCATGCAAGATAGCCTCAATGGCTTCAATGGCTTGCAAACCTGATTGAATGTCGAACAGCCGGACGTAAGAAAAATGGTAAGTAGGGGGAAGAATATTGACAAATTAGTATCACTCATGGATCCAAATGACAACAAAGTTGTAAAGTGCTTGGGATTTTGTTTCACATACCTAACTTTCCAAAGATGCAAGCAATCTAAATGGCAAACAACCCAAACATCAGCAGACTTCTGAAGTGGGATGCTCCGAAACAACGGCGTGGTCAATCGTTTAGCATATGCGAGGGCGTGAGATCAACAAAACAAGCATCAGTAATCACGAAAAATAATATGAAAATTAACTGTTATCGAAACTGATGCATAAACACACTGTACCCAATACTACATTACATGCGTGTGCTAACAGTGGGCATGCATGGTAGCCAGCATGACCATGTATCTGCTTCTTACCTTTCAAAAGGAATCGGAAATGTGACACTGTGTGACTGACATGGCCTGCTAAGATCTCACTAACTCCTACTTGCGCACCCCTATTGGCAAGTGCTAACATGAAGAATGAAGATGAAGAATTGTTACAATATCGACGATGTTGTCGAGAACTTCGATAGTATGGAGTCCGTGTAAATAAGAGAGGCGTGGAAACTCGGAGAAACGAGAGCAGAGAGAGAGAGAAGAGATATTATTGGTATTCTGAACCCAAGAGAAGTTGCGATGATCTTGCGAGCTCACCACACCCTTTAGGCAACCAAAGCACCAACGATACATTTGATCTGACTTCAGTAAACAGGACAAGCAATCAGCGGCCCGGTGATCTTAAATGCGGATTCGTAAGAGTGGGGTAGCGAGTCCTTGCTCCACGTGCATTGCTAACGATTCCCGAAAGTATGTAATGGCTCTCCAGTGCTTCTCCAGATGTGTATTTGCTGTCTGACCGGTTGTGTTTGCAACGAAGCCTTTTGGAACTTCCAATCCAGAGCCTACCATACACTAATGTCAAAAATCAATGATTGCCCAAGCTAGCTAATGATGCTATGGGATGATGGTGGCTCAACATTGTCACGTCTCGCTCTAAGTCGTACGTATATCAGCCCATATCCAGAAAGAAAAGAGCGCGCGGACGGGAACCGTTTACGAAAAAAGGAGACCAGGTATGAGAAGTCAAGATGGGTGTTGATTGTGCGTGCGTGTGTGCGTGCACGTGTGTAAAGGACCAATCAGAGTGAGCGCGTAGTCAGCGATCGTTAACATGCATGTGACAAACATCGGAAGCCGCTGCTCAGTGCTCACACCCGTCCTCTACATGTTCGAATCGCGCGTGGTAATGGAGGATGAGCAAACATCCTATAACATAGTAGTGAGAATGCGCGGCTCAATTTCCTTGGCCCAGTGGTTTTGACCACTGCGCAGTAAGAGAAGGGTTATGTGTTCTGTCTTCACAAAAGACTAACGGAACCCGCATTGCTGATGATTCCGGAGAGGGCGAAAACTCTGCGTACTGATACGCAATCATTAAGCAGTAAGGAAGTTACTTGACCATTTGGTATAATGGCTGGCCGGATTTCGGATAAGTTCCCTAGTCGCACATCAAAGCAGTAGGCCTTGTCTATTAACCGAATAAGAAAGTAAGAGATGGAGCTGAGCAGCTCATTCAAACTAATTCTAGTGAAAAAACAAGTTGAATATGTGGATGCTAGCAGTCAGCTAATACGCCAGCCATACGACCAGTGATACTTTTGATCTTTCTCTCTCTTTCATTCGCTAATGTAAACGCTTACTAGTTTACCCATTCTCTCAGCCGTTAAGCTATATGGAGCATTAATGAGACCATATGGGCACTACGATGCAATCTGCCGCACATTGGACTGTCACTGAGCTTGGTCATAAGCCCAGTACAAGGCTTCACAAGAACTATGGAACGATGGATTGCCACGGATAAAATGTCAAACGCTTACCAATTTGCATAGGTAAATGGAGTCAGCAGTACGCCGGTACCGATGCTTCGCTGCCGCGTAACCATCAATAGTTGCGTGTGGGCTAAGGACACTGCGAGGGTCGTTCGGTCCCCGTACCCAAGCTCAAACTCGCGACCTCAGATTACAAGGCAAGTGTGTGATCCTTAAGGTAACGGGCCAGGAGACAAAAAAGTGAATGTATCAAGAGAAAACAACGCGTATTTCACGTGTACACATAGCTTGGTTACTTTGTTTCGTGTGCCGTTAACTTAGGTGAACTCATGTAATGCAGATAGTGAAATGCATCGTCAAGTCGAATTCTAAATTCAGCTAACATAGGAGCAGAGACAACAGAATGCATAAGTAAATCTCACTGATGGGATACGCAAATGAAGAAAAAGTTCTGGTGGCATTCCAATCGCCAATACTGTGCGGCCAACTTCAAATGGTGGCCTCTCAAAGAATACTCAGCACATAGCTCCAATAATACACTTTGGTTTCGTACAATTCGACAGCTTTACATGGAAGCAGTGCACAGGAAGCTGGAAAGCATTTGCAAGTTATTGGTAACCATCCGTACAGCTGTATTTGTAAACGATGTACATTTTCGAAGGGGGACCTCTGTGACACTGCCATAGATTTGTGAGCTAATCATATGACGATAAAGGGTTGTCAACAAGTTCATATCCGGAATAGACCGCATGTTCCGTGGGATAGTTGCGAGCAGGTATACTTCAAGTGTCCAAGCAAAGGCAGCAAAATCCTTCCAAATCTGAATTGGTCAACTGCTGAAGTACAGAAACTCTCATTCAACATAAGGACTCCAGCACGTATCAGGTGTTCTGTTGTCAGGCGACAGAAACTGACTTCAGGATCTCGTGACTACCCTGTAACACGTTCACGGTCAGGCTTAATTTTGCGGGGGAAATTCGACCAGTCAGGTGATTAGCCATGAGTTTCGAGAGAGTGGGGAAATCAACCAGTGCTATCATAACCACCTATGGAATAGCCAAACCAATATGATTGCCGTCGTGGAGAGTGTCCAGGTGCCAAATGGATACTAGATTTTGCTGGTGTAATAGGGACCTCTGGTGTACTTTACCAGGCCACGACATCAGCTGATCCCTGCGTTATGAGCGTCCATTTATCACGGTGTGGAAAAGCCGAGTACTATAAACAAGATAACTGGGCTGACCGGATATGGGGGGAGGGAATTCAGTTCAACCTGGTTGTTAAAACCCTTTAGTAGTCCACAGAACGAGCAATTCGCCGCATCTATTGCGCACAAACACAGAAACAGCTAAAGTGGTACGAGTTGAAAACCCTTGGAATTGCACAATTAAATTTAGCTTTCGCAAAACGAAATCCATTTCCAATTTGTTAACGGTAAGAGGGTGGCCAATCGCAGGCATCGATACTCTGGGATGACCGGCTAACTAAGTAAAATTCATTGACTCATCCTATCAGCTCACCAGCCGGGAATCTGATCACCACTCCAGAGAAGCACCAATCCGGCTCAATCAGGAACGCAGGCCATGATTACTAGCCTCTTGTGTCACTATTCGGCAGCTTATGCCACTGAGTTATGTGAAACTATAGTAGGCTGTCAAAACTTGCGAGCTAACTGAGAGATAGTGCGGCCCCATCTTCCTTTGCCATGCAGGTTACTGCCTTAGCAGAAAACAGTGGCTAGTCTACACAAGTCAAGGTCTCCAATACACGGCACCTATATACGCATAATACTTGTCGGTTGTGGGATCGAATTAGTGCTTACTGATGAGCAGGAGGAATTACGGGGTGAATCAAAAAACTTTCATCAAAATTCCTCCTACTCATCAGTAGTTGAATTTAGTTGGTAAGTGACAGCACATTGTACAGTTGCAGTGGTCGTAGAGCTGCTAATTAACGGTCTAAGGGCCTTGTAGGATTTACAATCATCGGTTCATACGAGTGAAATGCTTACACCTATCCGGGCTGCCTTCTCCCACCCCCAATCGTTCCCGATATGACCGTGGGTCATTTACCGAGAGTGCGCTTGGCTGGATGAAGATTTAAAGTACCAATTGAAAACATTGTAGTCGTTGCGGGCACGCCAAATAACCTCGCAAAATGTGCCACAAACCAGTGCGAGACGCAGAGTTGAAATCCTGCCCACAATGTAGCAGGATCCAGCCAGCACAACTGGGCAATATCCTTTCGTAAACCAGCAGCCCTACGTGGTGATTCCTTTCACCCACAATATGAAGCATTGTTCCAAGTGCGATTCGGCCTTTGTGGGTCCCAAGAGCTCAGAGGTCCGCTGCGTTGGAGACTCGTGTGGTCACGTGACCGTGTGCATCGTTTTAGCTGGCTGTTGCGTGTGCCTAAGTCTCTCACGTGTGTCTGTTGTGGAGGTCTCAGCGTGTCACTTGAATACGTGGGTGACAGTGTTCAGGTTTTGCGTACCTTCGTCTAGGCTAATGGGACCAGGTCAGCGCAAATCTCTTACAGTAGTGGCATGACGAACAGACTGAGTTGGATCGACGCGTGCCACCCTCGTGGTTGGGGAGTTGATACAGGCCACTGAAGTGTTTCTAGCAAGAGACGGTTGAAGGGGCCAGTACTTTGGGATTTTTTAAGCTGCGTGCAACGATTTAAGTGGTTGCTGTTTTTGTTGTTGTTGAATCATTGGTTCAGCTTACCTTTATCATTGTGGTAACGCAAGAGTTCAAATCTAGGTCTACCAAGTTCTCTGATCAGACTCGGTCAATTAAGCTGGACCAACTTTAATTGCGTTAATGTTCAATCCCACCAGTACCGGCATTTCTTAACGATTGCCTTCCTCTACAAATGTTAACTTCCGTGCCCAAATTTTCAGAACAGAACGCCATTCATCTCTCAACAAACTGCTCTACCCGTGTTTGACTAATGCACTGCAAGATCACGTGGGAAACCCTGACACTTGCAGGTGTCTCAAACCCGAGGTGATCAACAGAATCAATGCGGTGGCTTAGCCAAAACAATCAGTGATTATAGCTGTTATTGGGCATTCGTAATGAATGGTAGTAGTGTAATTGATTTTGTATTAAAAGAGCGCAAGACACGTACCGCTGAGGACGTCGTGTGGATCAAATTGGAGTCTGACTTCGAATGCCATGCTGTCGGCGTAGCAGCAAACAATTCGTTGATGTCCATGTAGAAAATTCAACCCAAACGAAATAGCAACAGCGGACCCACCACCCGCAACACATGTAGTACAATTTACAAAAAATATCATGCCATGCAGACAAGATAGCCCTTACCAATCATGCAAGATAGCAAACCAAAAGGCAACTTATGTGAGAACAAACAAACCTTTTTCCTTGTCACCCGGTAGCTGACTGGCTGCGATAATGCTCCCGGAGGCTTCACAGCTCAAGGTGGCCGCCTCACTATCAGCATGGCCATATTCCGTAGTCACGTGACAAGTGTAGCTTCCGGAATCGGTAGGTTGGGTGTAGTGAATTTTCAAACTGGCCAAACCCAACTCCAATGTGCCTGTGATGCGAGAGCCTGTGAAAAATGTATGCGGGATGAAGAGTTTGTGACAGACCCGAGGCAAATTGATAAATAAATCTCACCACTAAGAGCACTCGCAATGAAATTCATAGAACCCATACCACAAGTTTTTTACCACAAAACACATGACCCGACACTCGCGCTCTGCATATTTGCTGAACAAACATGTATACCGTGTTGATTGTCTCGGTCACAAACTTTCGAACGAATAAGATGAACAATGAACAATGATTTGTAACAGGTAAAAAAGCAGGTGCTTGACATGTCCCGTAGGGTGTTTAGCGTGATAAAAAATGATAGCAAAGGGATAATGGAGTCGTCAGTTCAGGCGTTTACAGATGTAACTGCGTTGTCGCATAAAGGGAGTATGAAGTGAGAACGTACGCACACAAAGCAACAGGGGAGTGGTTATTGTCCACATCATAGGCGAGAAAAATAAAAAAGATGGCAAGGACAACGCTTACTCGTGTGCATCTATCTTGGGTCCACAGGATACAGAAATCCAGTTTCTATAGTAGTAGCGTTTATCAAATTACGTGCAAGACGTTTGGAGTGACTCATTCTCGAGTAGGGTTATGGCACTATCCCCTGTCTGTTGTGCATTAGTGCCAGCAGCTGGTGGTCATGAGCTATAGCACGTAGTGTAAATGTGACAGGGTATTGTCAAGGCGTTTTTTGAAAAGGGATAGGGTGGGTGCATTAATCACATGTTCCGGGAGGGCGTTCCAAGGCTGTGTCACTCGAAGGGAGAAATAGTTACGCCGACATTCCACGCAGCTGTGCTGCGTGACTAGCTTAAACTGCTGACCTCTTAGCGAGGTGTTTTGACTGAGTATTAGAAGGGAATGGTATGGGTGGCTGGGGTTTCTCAGGATCTGGTACACCATTATGAGATCGCCCCTTGGACGCCGATAACGTCCACTGTATATTTTGAGAGTCTTCAGGCTGAGTGGGTAGAGGAGACGGGTCAGACCTCTGACGCTCTTCGTTGCCCTACGTTGTGCAGTATCGAGCGCGGTGAGATGGTGCTTGAGCCAGGGTTGCCACGCTTAGACAGCGTATTCCGCGTGCGGCCTCACGTACGCACTAAGCATTTTTGGAAAGATCGAAGGGTCAAACTTCAGGAGACTAACAGTGAAGCGAGAGTTAGACCTTATCTATGAGACCACATGGTGGGAAGATGGAGTCCAAGGTACAGAGCACACCTGCATCATCGTAACTTCGATGATAGACGTGTTCTCTAAATTTGATGTATGCTCGCACTATGACAGAATTTGACCGAAAAGGTAAACATCGGAGCTGGCGTTTAGGTAGAAAAGAACCTCCAATCTAGACAAATCCCATTCATTTTCTGGCTCACTGCCATGACATTGGATTATTGTTAGCTTATAATAAAGCATTTTGTCCCAGACTCCAATACGATACGTAAGGAAGTGTGCTCACGCGCACGCAAGTCAAGGTAGTCACGCTCTCTAACGGTTTCTTACACACGTCCACATGTGGATGTGGCCGATTCACAGTCGTGTGGTGCCACCCTGAAAGCGCAGCTAAAATGGAGGCAGACTAGGTGAAAGCCCCATCATGAAACAGATAACACCGGGGGGGGGAGCTCAGAACCGTGAAAAAATGCATGGTGCCCCCAAAAGATTAGAACAGACGGTTTATTTAAGCATTCCGCCCAAATGATTCATCGTCCTGAAATACGTGTCCCTCAGACCGGTGTTCACAATGTTGTGACTACCGTGCTTCAGCGAGACTGCAAACGTTTGAAACTGTTGTGCTGAAATGTGTAGCTAAATCCCCATCTTAACGTGCAGAAAGAGATACAAAAACTTCGACAGCAACGTATGCCCATCAAGCCTGTTAGCTGATAAGGCAAGAACCTCATGCCAGAACGCGGTGGGTTTACTTCTATTTGTCTGTGGCTCATATCTCGATTTCCAGTGATGAAAATGTTTGTCTCTCAATAGGAACATAAAAGAATCTAACAGCCGATCGGCAGCGCCAACCACAGTGGTGCAGACGGAAACATGATTAGTAACATCTTTAGAACCAATGTGCAACGGTAACCGCAGGTTCGACGTTAGGAAAAGAACGCATCTTGTGATTTGTCGCTCTTTATCCGTGCAGACTTTTATCTCTGCACCCTTCGCCTACCTGATAGTTTAGCGAATGCTGACGCCAGCTGTCTTCCGAGTTCACTAACTTGTCAATACAAGCTTTGCGAGCACATGAGTAAACACATACACCTAATTCACAGCTGAGTAACATCTGTACTCTGTTCGGGTTGCAGAGAATTCTTACGTAGGAACGCGTATAACATATGCACGTTCTCTTAATACTATGCCAAGGAGAATTCACACACGAAACGAATTGCCCGAAATTTGCACAATTTGCACAATTCGCACACATGCGAGTTCCCTATTTCAGATACAAGGAATTGTTCCAACGTGAAGTAACATCTTTGGTACGACTCTGAATGAATTGTGCTATTGCTGATGTCTCCAACGCCCCACATCCGCCAGCAATAAACATAGCTGTTGGTCTTCGTGTTTTTGCTACTCACAGAGGAGGAAGGTGAAATGAAATGCGCTCTTACTCTGTTCCGTTGGTGCATTGAAGTTTGCTCTGAGACGCGTTGCCAGCCGTGATCTAAGCCCGTGGTAGGATGTTCAAATGCATGGGTGCTCACTGTAGGGCACAGGAAAATTCGTTCGTTCGCCGGTTTTAACTTACCACAGGAACCTCACATTCTCTCAATCAAACTGGTGAGCTACAGGACTAAGCGACACGAGCAAAGTTGGTTTATCGATATTTAACCAGTTTGTATTATTGGTTATCTTGCGGGGTATTTGCCGCTGAATTTCATGGAGATTTTTGTGCAACCTCTCCGTTTAGATCGCATGAGTGCATACCACTAGTATTGCTGGCTAAGGAGAGTAGTTGAAGCGAATCATGAGACGAATTCATGTTAACATCCCAGAAGTCTACTTAGCGTTAAGAGAAGGAAACGATTAGCCAACTTCACTGGTTTTGGTTTCACACAGCTAGCTGAGGATCCGATATCTGCGCAACCGCCTTGGAATGGAAGGCTACTAGGAATGGATCGTTCGCCAAATCGGCAGCTGCGTGATATGTTTGAGCGCGGTGTCAGGATCACGAATCACTCCGGAGGTAGCTGATTGCTGTCATAGCTTTCCTGAGCTGAGAGCGGTACGTGAGAAATTGGAATGATAGATATAAGTGACGATCCCCTAAGCAGTTTAGGTTGATAGAATCAATGTGGAATAAGGACAGAAATGAGTCGGTAAACCTATTTAACCCACGGAATTTCATTCCGCGGAGTGAAGAAGTCTCTGCTCGGTTGGGGATCAAGTAGAAGCGATGTCTGTGGAGTAAGGTATGGAGGCTCAATAATGATTGAGTGTTCGTACTCAAGAGTCATAACATCGAGCGCAGCTAGCTGTGTTCATCTGGACGTTATGCTGCGCTTGATAGCACCGTTCGCATAAAATTAACCCTCAAAACTCATTGCAGATATATTTTCGATCCGACCTGAGTTTAAGCGCATTGAAATACACATTTCTAACGACTCAGAACCTTTTCGTCATATGTAGACTTCCGACAGGCTGCCACTTGCAATGACCCAGTCCCATGTCTAAGTATGAAAAAACCGGAGAATCCTAGTTGGTATAGTTCCCCCTTCCGTGTCAAACCGTAAATCACTGACAAGGTTCCTACTCCAGTAAGCTTGGTTGAGAAGAAGCTCTACTGTGGAACAAGCGGATAAACAAACCCCTCTGGTGTGCGAATCGGAACAGCTGTAAAACCTCAAACCCTTCAGTCCATAGAACGCACACGATGCGTCGAGAGTCCAGTCAAGACAATGCTTCAGATCAAGCACTGACCGAATAGCAATCAGACAAAGCGATTAATCAAGTGCACTCCATTCACTTTGCTCCAGACACTGCATTACTGCTCAACTCAGAGGCGGGGAACCAGTGTCCAGCACATTGAGGGGTCGAACAGAGGATAGGTGAGTCACGTCATTAGAAATGGTTGTGTCTGGGTCGTTACTTCAGTTAGTGATAACGCGTTGAGGGAAGTGGTTAACTTTCACAGACAAGTAGTTTAAGGTAAAAGTTGCACGGAGGAAAGGTGAGACTGGAGTTATAGTGACTGCAATGTTGTGAAGGATTGTAGGTTTGTTTGTAGACCACACACTTGGAGTACCATACAAGCAGTAAAGGCGATCAACTTGTGTTTGCGAAACGGAACACAAACGCGAGGTGTGAGCAAGCCCCTCTACTAAGACTGGTGAGCGTTCCATTTCAGTTAGACGTCATGATTTTTTATTTCTAATGTGGGCAACCCAGAGTGGGCAAACACACGAAGGTGGGCGGTACGAGCATCGGAAACCGATTGTCATCATATGAAGCCTAGTAGCCCAAGATCAGCAGTACAAACGGTAGAGAAGAAACAGCTATTTCTCCAGCTTTCCTTTAAAGGTGACATTACGGCCGAGATATGCGCACGACGACTGATACAGAATTTCCAAAAGATCTTTAATGCAGCTCAACAGTGTCGTTTTTACAAGTAGTGCGCTCATTGGTCCTAGATTCAAAGACAAGATGCCTGATCAACGCCAATCAATGGTAATCTACGGGTTCACCTGCTCCTGTAGGGCTAGGTACATTAGGCTAACGACCAGACACTTGGAAAAGCGAATCAAGGAAGATTTACAGTAATTGCGCGTCACGCAGAAGGAAAAAACCTAAGTTGAGTGCAATAACTAACCATCTGATCTACACCGCTCATCTGACGGATAAGCGCAAGTCGTTTGAGATCATGTATAGAGTGCCACTGTAGCTGCACAATCGGTCAGGGGCACGGCTGCTTGCTGCCGCTGAAGCGGTATGCATCCGATTGACAAAACCTAATCTACGCATTTAAAAGAAGCATGGCCAAGCACTGCAACTACCCTGGCCAGCCACTAACAGGGATGGGTCGGATCCCACTCAGTGGTGTCACGTGCCTTCAATCACTTGATCACATGACACATGTTACGTCAAGCATTTGAAATTTTGATTCAATCAATACTTACTCTGCATCCCGATTAAACTAATATTTTGTAACAAGCCGGATAATGAATAAATCGAACAATTGTTCGCTTTAAACGCACCGCTTGCGTAGTTTCTTACAATATACGATTGAGCTATGCCACTGTGGAATAGCCTTGCCTGCCATGACACCTATACGACCCATGACCAGATTATACACCACCAACAACCTCAACAACAGCAGTACACCAGACGTTTGAACTGATGCTTGGCTCCCATACAACCACGATGACCTATGAAATAAGGAAGAATAAGAGGGGGAGAAGTGGACTTACCTGAAAACCTTAATGCCCTAAGTAAGCATTCAGGGTCAAGGCGCCTATACCTTGTGTAGGCAACATGCGGTCGCAAACAGCTGACTATCGTGCAAAGATAAGACGGCATCGGCGAGACAGCTTCCTTGCGGTTTTCACTGCCACGCGTCATAATCAGCCATTACCAAACTGATAAATCAGCACCAAACACACTTTAAACAGGTAATCCGATTAGGAGACGGCAGCAGACACGCCACTGGTGTCGGTTGCGAGCCATGTCCTGTAAAGTCTCGAGCCCAGCACGAGGCGAGTCACGTGGACTCCAGCCCCAAAGGCGAGACGGACCAACGGCACCCAGTTTGGTCGTCAGTGCCTTCATTTCCCGCTGCCAAATCAACTTCTGTCCACCTCGAGCTTTGCGCCACCCTACACATCACATTATACAACCCGTGGTTAGTTAAGGCGGTTACTACCCAAGCGAGAGAGACGCTTTTGGGTCTGCAGAGCCTAGATCGTTTACTTTTCGTTAGTCTGGAAGCAGCCACGGAGCAGGAGACTGGCCATATGAGAATGGATGGGGGAAGGGCGATGAGCGTTTTCCGTCGGGTTGAAGAAGGAATGCAAACAGAGTGCGCTATAAGGGAAGGACTTGCTTGCGATAATGAAATCTATAACGAGAGACCAAGTTGTTCCTCCTATACTGTGCTGTGAGAGTCACTCCAACGTTCCGTGTTCCAAAAGCATTGAAACCGGCTTCGTTATAATACGACGAAATGCTATGCCTACCAACACCGAAACATGAAAAAACACCCTTGAGCTAACGCGCGGATTGGAAAAAGCAGTCAACCAGACTGCAAAGCAATCGCTGTAATTATAAGAATGCATGCGGAAACCACTACTAACAGATAAAGTTCTTTCAGTTCCTAAAACCTGTAAATTAGCTGTCAGATTAGTTAGTGATGGAAAATGTCTCTAAAAACCGATCGATCCAGCGCACGAAGACTCATTCCCGAGCCGTATGCAGGAGACCGGTGGTTCTTAATAATGCGCTCGATGTGCAGATGCCGTATACAATAGGCGACAGAGTTCATGTGAAACTAGACTGTGTCGTTATTGTTCGCGTACGGATCTATTGTCAATAAACAGCGAACTAACGGGACTTGGGAGTGACAATGACCAAAAAGTAGTTATTATCTATCGTGAGTCCGAAATTAAGTAAACAACAGCCCAAAACGTTTGCTTCACAAGGAAAAATGATGCGTGTCAATAAACCGAGCTCCTCCTCACCTGAGTGGCGCAATGTGATTCCAGCATTCACAGTGCTGAGGAATTATGGTCTACGGTAGGCGTGTGAAACTGAGAAGCCTTCAAGTACCGCATGGGTCACGTTCATTGCTCTGAGAGCCACACTAGACCAGTCATGTCAAACATGCGGCCCACACAAAGGATGCCGCTTATATATATGTATATATGTATATATATATATATATATATATATATATATATATATATATATATATATATATATATATATATATATAAGCGGCATCCTTTGTGTGGGCCGCATGTTTGACATGACTGGCCTAGAGAGGCGGGCAAAAGTTGAGACAATCGACACTTACCGATGGTGATAACGACCGAGACTCGAGTGAATGTCTGCATGATCGCCAATGAAGTAGACGCAATGGAAACGGAACCCATGTTATTGCAGTTAAGTAGGTGAATACTGACTGAGAAATCACGTTGGAAAGACCAGTCAAAATGACTAAAGGGTGCTTCATCAACGGAGGTTCAAATATCCGACAGATGAGCCCCTGAAGACAGGTGCTGCTGAATACAACTCCCGACTAAATGTGCGCCTATCCTTGCGCGATTTCTGCTGTTTTTTGTGCTCGATTTCTAGATGAGTGAAACTTATCGTAAAATTGCAGATGACAGTTAAAAATGGTCACTGATCAGTACCCGCGAAGAGTGACTTAAATAAGTTTGTTCGGAAACTGAAAGTCACCCGGGAATCGAGCTTTACAAACTTGAGAACCCATCCCACAGAAAAGTTTAAACATAAATTTAATCCACTGGGTACAGAGATAAACTTTGTATGTAAGGAATACCATAGTCCAAAGGCCTCAAGGGAAACGGTGATCAGTTTCGCATCGGATACAGTACATTCAAGTAGGAGGGTATTACTCGTCCTGGTCATCCTACTGGACTTACCAGTCTTTACTACTACGTTATCACGTCTCCATTCCACTGTTACTCGATCCCCGTTGCCACAGTCCACGGGAATGGAGAACGTCACCGGGTTGTCTTCGTTCACCTGAACCGACGAAGGTTCGATCCCAGAGGTAAAAGTAGGTGGGATTCCTTGTTTGACTTCTTCCGGACGGCTGAGTGGACGAAAAATTGAGACGCAGGCTACAACTGATTCTAAATCATTGGCGATTCATTTGGATCACATGATTGGAAGCCTAAGAGAAGATACTAACATACCCATAGTATGGTGAAACATGCGCTCGGAGACAACCAAGTATTCAAGTCAGCGGGGAAATTTTTTCTGAGCATTCTCATTAAAGGTTTATTCGTTTAGGAACATGTTAGGAACAGTTCAATATAACAGAAGCTGAGATAAGGTCGGCTGAATTACAGGAAACTGATTTAATCGTCAATCGGACTTCTCGACTGATGGTTAGGTTTGTCCGTCCAGACAATGATGGCCGCAGTATCCGTATGTGCAAACTAACACACCTGGATGGATAGACTTAAGCATCTATCGAGAGGTCCGAGTTACGAAACACGCAGTTGGTTGTGACGCAGCCATCCTATCTCAGCTTCAATAACACTGAATTGTTTTGACCTGTTTTATATGTGGAAGAATAAGGAATCAGGAATAGCCAGTACGCAGTACGGACGCGTCGCTGCCGCGCAAATACCACCAGTCGCACGTGGGTTAAGGATACCGCGAGTTGCCCAGTGCCTACGCAGGCTCAAACCCCCACCGTCGGATTACAAGGTAGGCTTGCGATCCTCAAGGCTACGGGACTTAGAAGTGGGAAACATGATGGGAATTATTAGGGATAAACTTCTTCACTGACTCGAATCCCGTGCATATCCAGAAGAATACGTAATGTGGGCGCGGATAAGGCACGTATCCGTCTGACTTCACCCTTTAGTTGGGTGGTTATGGGAGATCGCTAGTCGTCGAGACTGGATATAGAACATGCGGTCTTTGTGGCAGGGAATGGTTCAAATAATGTTCTCAGTGTAAGTGCGCATAAAGTGAACATTCCCTAAAGTGTACGTAAAATGACAGACAATCAAAAACTACAGTAACAGGAATATAACAGTACACAACAGTGCAGTGGGTTGGGATACTGCCGGAGAATTCGACCCCAAGCATGAAGATAGTGGAAATAAATGAGCTTTTCGACCAAGACTTCAAGTCACCACTGCCTCCCAGTACAGCGGATGGCTTCAGAAGTTAACGTAAGTGGTGAAGAAACCAAAGCACCGGGTGAGAGAATGGTGAGGAATATACCGGGGTGTAACAGAGATTGACCGTTCACTGTAGACGGCGAGACAAAAAAGTATTGGCAAACGCGGTGGTATGTGGTTAGATTCATCTAACAGATGGAAAAACAACAAACGTCCTTATGAACCATAGCGAAATATGCGCGCAGTTGTGTTTTGGCGGCTCTAGCTGATAACTCCAACACGGAGTTCCACCACCGAGTTCCCTAGTGTGGCTTTCCACTTTCATGCACTGACAAGTTTCGCTGGTCTTACGAATGGGACTGAGAAGGAGTTGTGAGCAATTAGAGACAGAAGTGAAGAGTCAGATTTTTCTTAGGCTGATAAGATCGCGTTCTTGCACGTCTCTTGGCTCCAGTTGCCTTCGAATCCTCGTGATAGTCGACACTCGTTAGCATGGTTAAAAAGACGATAGAAACAGACTATATATGCTGCGTCCTGGTATCTGAAAGAGATAATGCCTATGGAGAAGAAAATTCGTATCTAGATGAAAGTAGAGAGGAGGGCGAGAGGAATATACCATGGCAGCGAGCCGGCTACGTATTTCGTGCGAACGCAAGTGAACTGCAACATGTTGTGACAGGTGTTTCAAGATGATCTGACACCGGTGCTCTAGCTGCGTTCGCACAGCCGCAGTAAGGTCCCAGTAAGTATTTGTTAGCCCCTCAAAACGCACAGCAGATTCCGCATCAAAAAGCACAAAAGCATGTGTACCTTACTAGTGAAGTCAGTGTGGACGGGCTCAATAGTGAACTGTCACACCGGACGGACTCCTCAAGGCATGGGAACTACCTAGTATTACCGACAGAGGAAGTTGCAATGCAAACGACAGGTCGTTCTATATGCCGCACCCTCCTGGATCACGCTTTAATGCCAGAGGCAGTGGTATGTGGGCGCAATGCCCATAAATCTCGACCTCTAGTCATTCGATTTTCAATGACATTTCAACTCTAAGCCTGCTGCCCACTTCTAAAGCGCACATAAAATGCGACAAGCGCTGAGGTCGCACGCAGAAAACGTATCCCGGGTGAAGTCAGAACACATTCTTTGATGCAAACCATTAGTTAAAAATAGATTACCTCGCCCACATTTGGATGTCCCATGAGATGCGAAGCACCGTCTCCTGCACCTAAATATTTCGGGCCATCTTTCGAGGGGAGAAAATATTTCTCGCAGCCATGGTGGGCCGGACGAATAGGCATGTCTTTTGGTGAAGTGTGTAAACAATGGACTGGGGTGAATAATAGGTCTCTCGGATGCGTACAGACGCAAGTGCGTACGTATGAGGGCAGTGTTGTTTGCCAGATGTGTGAATCACTCCGACAGCGCACCGTGGGTTATGTTAAAAGTTGTGGGATGGAAAATCGATAACAGGACATCCAACGTGCAGACTTGTGGGAGGAGAAGCGTCCCACCTTAAGTATCGATTGCAGAGAAAAAGCGCGTAACGCTGTCCCACATGGTTAGAATCCCTCAACTCAAGTAGTTCAAACGATGGGGAGAGCAATCTTATCTGGGAATAGGCGACAGCTCCTACGTGGCGTGCCACAGCCGTTGGTGAGTGCGTCACGTGACAAAAGTCACTTATCAGAATGCAACCAGCTGTGGCACCGTTTAGGAAACAACTGGTGGAGATTCCGATAAATCGGGTGGCATTAGTTAATCGAATCCCGTAGGATGCATGACTTGTTTCCGCATTGTGGGCTCAATTTCAAATTCCAGTGGGACTAGAACGATAAGATGATAATGTGAAAGTTCCTTCTTTAGCGAGTCTTTGAAGCAGGACGACTCGGAATCGAGCGATTAGCATTCAGTTCGAGCAACGGTTTTAGTGCAACCGCATTGATAAGCAAACAGAAGTACCTGGCTGAAGTTGTTCTGTCAGCTTTCAGTTAGACTGACGTTATACAAAGCGTATCGAGGGCACTGCGGCTTATGGGAACGCGGTGAGGACAAGGGTGCGGATTCTCGTGTTAACACGGTTACACAGACCTGAGATGAGGTTAATCTGTTAACGGTGGACATCACAGGAAACATTCAACTGTCATAATAGCTTATGGTGTTCCACACAGTGAAAATTATTCAAATGTGCTGTATAGAGTGAGATTCGGCGGGATTTCAGCTACGTTTCCGCAATAACTGGTGGAAACAGGCGAACTGCATGAACCTTCCGAGAATAGATTTATTTATTTATGCAACGAAATTCCAGGTTCTACTGTTTACCTGAAAAAGTACAGCGGTACATTTTGATTTTTAACCCTAGGCTGGTGATTCCATATGTGGATCAAGACCGAGGAAATTTGTAATCTTAAGTAAAAGATTTCCCGGCGAGACACAGATGCCAAGTCATCCAGAGCCCACAACCGTAGAGCAGTAGCCAGAGATAGGGCGAATCAGGAGCGGGGTGAAATGTTAGGGGGACATTGCTTCATTCGTTTCGAATAGCACAATGAGTACTCACTGTGTTCCGATTGCAAAACTCGGGCAGGAGACAAACAAGGATTGGCGTTCAACATTGTGGTAGCTTTGGTGGACACTAGGCTGACAGCTGATTTCGATAGTAAATGCTAGCCACCGGCCGCCTTCTGTGAGGCAAGACATAAATGTCGAGTGCTAACGACCAATCCCGATTTCATGCTTCTCATGTTATCTAGTCTAGTTGTCTTTTGCTTCTGATGTCTTCTCATATCAATTGTTCCGTTATACGTAAGATGCCGGTGAGGGTTAATCGCCATACTGGCTGTTCCATCAATGTTCCCAAGTGGGAGTAAAATGGAATGCGTCATGCATCTTGGGTTTCGGTGAATCAGATGTATGGATGCAACGCATTCCAAAAGGGAACGGTGAAGCATTTAGACTGGGTCCATCTCCACCAACTAACCGTCGCTTAGAATACTGAGTACTGACAATAGGGAGCTAGTAAACATGCGTCTGTGTTGCTCCGTCGTAATTAGTTCGAACACATATGTAATAGCAAGTCACTGATTCATAAGCGTCTGTTGGATATTACAGGTGCGTCATATGCTATTCAGGTGCGATGCGCTCCCTGCATCTGAAATCCGAAAAGTGGGTATTAGATACCGACATTGATTTCGCCTCGACAATTTTCACAGGCAAACTGTTCCAATAGTTCACCACTCGGAGCTCGAAGCATAGATGGCGAGGTATACGCTTTAGGTTCGGTACCAATAGCTTGTACCGGTGCCCGCGAGTGCTGCTTGGTGCGCGTATGTGAAGCAGTGGCCGCAGCATAGGGAGGTGAGCTAGATGCAATATCCAATGCGTCATAATGAGGTCAACTATAAACCGACGATACGACAGGGTGTACAGCCCTACTCGTCTGCATCGGTCTTCGTACAGCACATCTCATAAACTGAGGATGAACCTGGTAGCCACATGCTGAACATGTTCCAGTCTTTGCACGTCGCCACGGGTGATCGGACAATAGGCAGGTGATCCGTACTGGAGCATTGGTCTTATGATGGAGCCCTTTAGTAATGCCACGTCGCTTGCCGGTCTTGGGCGCCGCCTCACGTAAGCAAAATTATGCTTGGGGGCCGTTTTGCTGAGGTTGCAAGCTCCTCTTCGAACTGTCGACGCTTCTACACTTTCGCGCTGTTGCATAGATTCCGTTGCCTTTGTACAATTTGTAATCCTCAACAGAGTCAGACAAGAGGAATTTACTCCAGTGTACGCGTCGCCGTCCAGCCAACTGGCCATACTCTTTGTCGAACCAATGTGGCCTAACTGCGCCAGCTTTCTGATATTAGAGGGGTACAAATCAAGCACACAGCGATTTCACACTCATTTTATAACAGACCAACAAGCTTCAACAGATGAATCCTGCTTCAGTGACTAG